CTAATAAAATCCACTGTTGTTTTGGCAAACTAATGGCAGCATAATAATGCCCGGATTTCCTTAAAACGACATTAATTATTTGGCAACATAAAAATACCTAACAATAAAACATGACATATTGGACTGTAGCAGCAATAGCTTTGCGCCTACTTGGTGTTCCATACAAATATATCTCGGCCGAACTAAACTGTACTGCATTGTGAATGCGTCATCGGCGTTCCATACATATACACGCTTTGGCGGCCTTTGTGGAGGGCGGCCGCTATAGGTAGCGGCCGATATTGGCCTAATTCGCTAGGCTAGCCCTAGCCTATAGCTTAGGCCTACGCAATTTTATTCAAACATTAATACATTCCTTTATGATTTATACTTTCCTATAACCCACCTATTTTTCGACAATTATGGTTTCTAATTAAGTTAAACCATTAATTAGGACAGTTAACGTCTTCGCGGTGCACCATCTTACAGTTACACTCCCTTGTTGTAGTAGGCTACATGGTAGTGGCTATCGGCATTGCCGCAGTGCCGATTTGGCACTGCCGCTGTGCGAAAAAAAGCTGGTGTTTTCTATCGGCACTGCCGCAGTGCCAAAAAAGTAGCTGTTTTCTATCGACACTGCCACAGTGCGAGAAGCTGCTGTTAATTAATTGAATTGATGTTTTTATCGATAGATGACATTGGTATAATTCATAATTCATAATTTTATTTCACTCAAAATGTAATAAGACTGGTAGGCAAATAGGGAACATGTCCCTGAAAATTTAATCCACATAAGAAACAATGATAATTTGTAGAAACATATATGCCATAATAAAGTACCAGATTAATTTTACTTTTTTTATTAAAAAAAAAAAAAAAAAAAAAAAAAAAAAAACATAACCAAAGTGTTTTTGTGTATGCAAATGCTAATACTATCGCACAATTACCACGTATTTTTAGTAAGCAGAGCTCAGGATGGTTCACATGTGGGGACGAATATCCGTCGAAATGCCGTATAAATAAACTGTAATTATGTAAATAACTTTCACAAGAACTTTAAAATATCTTAATTAATATAATCTTAATATCTTAAATTAGTTAATTACTAAATTAATTAATAGATTGATATAAACATTGTGACCTATAACTAAAATTTATTAATATATTTTAATTAATAAGTACAAGAATCCTGCAACAAATTTTTCAGGTCAGAAA